AAGCTAAAGAGCTGATGGCAGACATTCAGTCCAGCAGGATCCTCCCTGCTCAGGTCCTGATACCTTTTTGGGTTTCACCTCAAGCTAATGAAGGTGCTGCAGTCGTCTCTGATGTCTTAATTTCAAAGTGAAGCGATTAGTCAAAGCAAAGCGTCACCGGCCACAGCTCTCTCCCTTGGTTTGTAGTTAGTAATTTGTTGGAAACTGGAGGCCGAATCTGCCTCCTGTTGTTGTTTTCCAGGTGATCCTATTTTTTCTTTCTAAAGTTCTTCCTATACTTTTATTCAGGTCAGCCTTGGCTGTACTTTAAAACTCCACATCCCATCAACATGAAGGCAGTCTGCCCTTCATGTGCTTCAAATATCTTATATCAATTGATAGCAGATTAACGGGCTTTGCTGAACTACAGACATCTGAATCAGGTGTATAAAATACCTAAAACATGGAGGGAAGTAAGCCATGAGAACCAGGGTTGAAAAACACTGCTCTGGAGCAGCAAGTCTAAAACCCCTGACCTCTGACCCACCTATTGCAACAGACTGGATACTCCCTAAAAATAATTTAAATACCTCACTCTGTATTTATTTATACATATCAAGGAAACTTTTTTACATTTTAATTGTTTTTAAATGACATTTAATGATTTAATTTATTCTTTTAAAATCAATATAATTAATTAATGCAAGATTTATTTATTCAATTTAAGAATTTAATGGTATATTTCATGTTTAAATCATTATCATTATTTATAATAAATAAATGCAACATTTATTTATTTGATAGTAGAATTAATGCTTCTGTATTTCCGATGATATTTAACACCCCCCATTCAATTTCTCCCAATACTCCCCTGACGGAATCCAAGCCTCCCGGTTAGCATATCCTTAGGTGCATTTTACTGTGCTGACAGTGCCGTACAGTTGTTGATGTAAAACAGCAGAGTAGCTGTGGACCTCACCCAGATCCTTAGTACCAAACTGTTCTTTCAAAACAGTATTTTAACTGAACAGAGCAAAATGTCATATTTGTTCTCCTTTTACAGTCTGAAAATCATGTGTGATAAAAAGTAGTGGTAGCAAAACACTTTGCCTAAGATTTTCGATTAACCAGATTAGGAGATGCTTTTCATCATTCTTGCTATTAAAATTAATCTGTTGCAGTTAAAGGCCCCATCATGACTTATTGCCACAAAAGGCAAGATGTACAGTAACATTTTTAGCCTTCCAAAAAAAGAAAGTTTGAAAACAATCTACTGGACTTTGTTTCCAAGTTTGGAGACGTTTTGATTCCCATCCAGGAAGCTTTCTCAATTCAAAATGTTAGGAATAGTGTTGAGTTTGAAGTTTTATACAGTAGTCCTACAAAGCCTTGTTTTTGTTTTGAAAACATGCAAATTGAAACGGACAAAGGGTTCCACTCCATTGGGATGGGGGTCGTCATTTGGGTTCAGGGCTCCACACCCACAGATAGATACCCCAGAGACAGACAGACAGACAGGCTGGGGTACCATGAATGATCAATTATGAACAGTTTAGTTTGTGCCTTCAAGTCGTTGCCCATGAAGACGTTACTTGGATATAACCTAATGGAATATCTTCAGAACAGCTCCAAATGACACAAACCTCATATGGGTGAGTAGAACATGATGTTATAATGTAAATCAAGCGCCAAATGTAAAAAAAAGACATTACCCTTTAACATAGCCTCCAAGAATCCTGGTCTCTGACTACTTTTTATAACCTTCAGGATTACTTTAATAGAGTTCTCCTCCCCGAAAAAAAGATAATTATCATGTGCAGTTATACATTTTAAAGAATCTGTTTCCCTTTCTCTCTCCTCTGTGTCGCTGAGACGTGCTGCAGATTGCAAAATCTAGGGTTACCTCCATCTTATATCAGAGATCTGATTGTTCCTTATGTTCCTTATGAGCACTTTGCTCTCAATCTGCAACTTTACTAGTGGTCCCTAGAATTTCTAAAAGTAGAATGGGAGGCAGTGCTATTAAGCTCCTCTCCTGTGGAACCAACTACCAGTTTTAGTCCGTGAGGCAGACACCCTGTCTACTTTTAAGGGGTAGGCTTAAAACTTTCCTTTTTGATAAAGCTTATAGTTAGAGTGGCCCAGCTATCTCTATAGTTATGCTGCTATAGGCTTAGACTGCTGGAGGACATATGGAACATTGAGCCTGGTTCTGCTGGAAGTTTCTTCCTGTTAAAAGGGATTTTTTTCCTCTCCACTGACGCTACAAGCATGCTTGGTGTGAGGGATTGCGTTCGAGTCAATGAGTCGATGCAATCAACTGGTTTTCCTTAGATAGAAAAATTTGAATCAATTTGACTGTATGATGTGGTGAACTGTAAAGTGCCTTGAAACGACATGTGTTGTGAATATGCGCTATATAAATAAACTGATTTGAATTGAATTTTCATACATTTTCTAAGGTCCACATTGTGTGGCCACTTCTGCTATAACCTTTTGCTGCCGTAACACCACAATTTCCCCATTGTGGGACAATTAAAGGGTTTTTTATGTGTATGCTACCTAGATAATAAGTAAAAGTAAGTCTTAGAACAGATTTCTCAAGCCAGGTGGCGCATTAGACCAGGGGCTCATCTCCTGTTTCCAAAATGCATCACAAACAGCTTGAGAAAGCTTTTCTACTGTGATAAATGGTGATTAAAAATAATATTCAATAAGATGTATTTGTGTTTAATACGTGTTTATTCAAACAAAAGTTTATTCTGAACTGTAGGCATAATAAGTCATGATCAACTGTTTAACAGTCACAAGCATTGTGTCAGTCAGTCTATTTCTCCTTTTTCCAGCAGTCACTCAGGCAGTCATTGCAATGTCCTGTGATGCTGGAGTAGCCGCAAAGGCTGCTGGGTAATATCAAGATGGGGAAAACATAACTATTTTATTCTAGTTTTGTGTTAAAGAGGGTTGTTTATGTTGAAAGTCTGTTCATGCTAAGCTAACATTAGATTCTGGCAGTTCCAGTTATAAGTGTTAACATTAACACCGTTAACATTAACACCAGTTGAATACAATGTAGCAAGCATCTCATTGTTTTTGTGTTGCATAAATAAAGAGCTTTGCAACTGGACCCAGGTTTTTAATGTGAGTTACTTACGTGCTGACAAACACGCTACAATATCAAGGTTAAAGTCATCATTAGTATATACTGAACCAAGCAATTAGAGGGTGATATCGTTACAGCATCGATACTTTTTAACAATAATTAATTGGGAGTCCTCATGTAATTTTGTTTGTATTGTGTCCACTTGCCTGTTGCTTTAATTCAATAAATTTCCACATGTGAGAGAAAATAAAGTATTAGTTATTGTTGGCCCACTTAGATAACATGTTTTAATGGGATAGATGTACTGGGTTCTTCCAAGGTCTTTATTACACTTTCTGAGTGGGCTCCAGTAACATATGACATATAATATCTACTTTGAAAGTTAATATGAAGGTGATCACTCTTATCAACCTGTATATGCTGTTGCCATTGTTTTCATTTACGGTATTTTCCGCCCCGATGGCCTCTCTCTCTCTCTCTCTCTCTCTCTCCCTCTGAGGGGGGAACAGCAAAGCGCTGTAATACAGACTGAGAGACAGATGAATCTGCTGCAGTTAAGCTGGGCATACACTGTGCGATATAGCTACAGCTCTGATGCGATCTTACGACAGCCGACTGAATTTCAAACATGTTTGATTTTCTCCCGACCTTACCATTCCTGATAAGGAGGTGGTCATGAGAAGGTGATTGCCCCTCATTACCCCTGTACACTACATGACGCATGACAAGGCTGAAACTCAGCCGGATGGAAAATTTCTTGCACAACTGGAGAATCGGCCTGAAAAGGACAAAAAAAATCGTACAGTGTATGCCGCCTTCAGTGCGTGCAGGGAAGAATAAAAATCATCATTCTTGTTAAACGAGTATTGTTCAGTATCAATAACAGCTTTGGTAGGATCGATCCGCCCACCTGCTTTAAAAATATATTAACGGCGGATTTTGTTTAGACAAGGGTCTGGCATTAACAGAGCATGTTAATGCCGATAACAGTCCACCACTAGTTATAATTCATTAAGACATCTTCTGATTTTGCTGTATATTTCTTTACATTTTAATCAGCTAATTTATAGACTTCCCCAGATTCTGATCTTAAAATAATAGAAGATGTTATGAAGCTGCATCCCTTTAAAAAAAATCAACCCTTTGCACCAGGTCCCTCAGATTATATCGCTATTAGAGCCTGTAGGACACCAAATACTTGACTAATTTGGGATTATTATTTAGACTGACATAAAACCCTTCTTGCAATCCTTATAAATTCATCCCGCCAGATTAAAAGATATTGTTTACGGGTTTTAGCTAAAAAAAAAAAATCTACAGCTTTACACTGATTTAGAATTGGCGTTAAACTTTATACCCAAATGACCAGATTCTGGAGATTATTGCATATAAGAGAGATAAGCGGCTGCCCTCATGGGAATTATATCTTTTTGTAATATTCAGTTGATTGCAAGTTTGGCACTTTACTTCCTCTGTTATGGAAGACTAGGAATGAAAAGCACCTCCAGGAAAGAGAAAAAGGAAAAGAAATGTTGTGGTGAATGGCACACACACACACACACAGGCCTACACACTGGAGATAAACACATAAGAAGGCTTAACTTCTGGTAAATGGTGACAAGAGGAAAAGAAGCTGAAACGTATGGGCTGGGTGTCTATCTCTGGAATGCATGCAGGAAGAGACCCACAGTGGAAATGATAAGGTTTGATTGCTCTAAGGGAGGAGGAGGTCTGGCGTTCTGCGCTAAACATTGCTCTTAACTTGAGGAAGTCATGAATGTCTTTTAACCAATTTTTATTATGTTTGAAGGATCCATGCAAATGTAAGAGAAAGTGAAAGAAAATTACAGATAGACTCAAACAAACACGACTGGCTGAGGAGACAGTGGCTCTGTGCACAGAGAGGGAGGGAAGCAGAGCTGGGCTGGAGGGAGGAACTCTTCACTCCTTCAAATGAAGCTTGTCAGACATTAGGAGAGGAGGCAGAAGAGAGTCTCAACAAGCCAAGAGCAGAAGCAGAGTCAACTCAGAAAGGGGATCTTTTTCTGCTTTTTTTTTTCTATATGCCATTGAGGTGACAAGACAGACCCTCCTTGTCTGTGGGTCAGCTGAGGAGAAAAGATGAAGAACCAAATCACCAGCGCCCTTTCTGACTTCTTCTTTGAGTATGAGACCCCTCGCCAGGTGCTGGTGAGGAATAAGAGGGTGGGACTTGTGTGCCGGTTCATCCAGATGGGGGTCCTGGTTTACATCATTGGGTAAGCTACTTAAAGCATCTGTTATCTTCGCTCTGCAAAACAGCGAGTTAAATAGAGCTAATTAAAATGAAATGTTCCACTCACTAAAATAATTGAAACAAAGACGTCTTGTTGAATGTGTGTGGGAAACAGATATACAGTAGGACCTACCATGTCCTGTTGACTGAGCAAACATCCAAGCAAACTGCTGTTAGCAATCGAAGAGCCTTGACTGGCAGCTGTGGCAGAAGATGGTTCTGACATAACAAGACAGATATTTCCTGTCCGTTCATACAAGTTGAGACATTCAAAAGTGTACGTTGTTACTAATGCTTCCTGGCTCACCTTCCACATTTTCTAACGTGCTTTGACATGCAAGTTCCTTTTAACTGTTGGGCAGTTAGGAGCAAACACAAGAAGAATGGTTTGTAGTTTTCATTTAGCATTTGAATGATATTTATTGTTTTTCTTGTGCATCTGAGCAGCGAAACCTGCAGGAAGGAGAGTGATGAAATGCACTGAGGCACATGCTAGGACAGATAAAGATCAAGCGCTGCACAATTTGCTGCCAAACACAGCCGACGTGTTATTTGGTGAGGGTGATGCTGACAGACCCCAAAAAAAGTGAAAACCTGAAACAAATGGATCTAAGACGACTCTGCTGAAGAATTTAGGAGGAAAACACTCCATCTATTTTTTGTACCTGCGTTGGAACGACTGGTGCCACCACACAGCTTGCTTACCATTTTTGGCTGTTGGTTGATTGGTAAGGTGCCAACCTAGCCTCAAACCACCCAGCGCTCAAACCTGAGTGTGATTTATTGCAGCCAGTTAAACGGACATAAATGCTTTTAGGTGGAAGCCAGAGCATCTGGTGAAAAACCATTACATGCATAGAGAGAACATGCAAACTCCATATATACAAAAAAATTTTGAATCATTTTTTAATTATTATATATATATATATATATATATATATATATATATATATATATATATATATATATATAATTACTGTGGCAGGTGTTCAAACCCAGCAGAGGAATCATTCATGCCAACAACTGCAGCATTAACAAATCTCAGCTGAAAAAAGGACCTAAAGGTTTTAGAAAAAAGGGGATAAGCACTTCTATAAAATACCTTTTTTCCCACATCAACAGAAGCACTGCACGTTCTATTTAGGATCAAAACCGGAAACACTATTAAACTTGTCCTCCTACACTCCCAAAAATATTTCATTCAAGTTTGAACATTTATGTAATTTTATTATAATAAAAACATCCCATTTACTTTAGATCATTTTAACACAAACCTATTAAATAAACCTTACATATGTTATATTCACATGTAAAATTATTTTATTGAAATACATACTAATCAGAGGTAGGCATTTATTTTAGAAAATAAACTTTCTCCAAATTAAAACTAGTGAGTGTATTTATCTTAACTACATAACATTTATTGATTGAATACACTTTTAAGTACACCACAAATGGATCCAAGTTGGCGTTGAACACTAGTGACATCACCTGTTTGCTTCAGGTAATGTCACAGGATAATTTGGGGGACGAATGTGCAGGCTGGGATAAAATCTATCCAGTGGTGCCACAGAACACAACACCTCCTGTTTTTCAGCCTGCTATGTTAACCAAGGTGATGTGTTTTCATATGGGAATGGAACGGATGGGCATTTCAAGGTGGGACTGCTGCCCTCTGAGTATTATGTTAAAACCTATGACCTCACAGGGAAGGTTATACTAGGAAACTGGTGGTGAATAGGGTTGACGTTTGGTGGTACTGTGGTGGGAGAGTATTGTGGGGATGGCTGCCAGTAAATTGGAGGGGAAGGTGCGCTTTGGTTTCCCTGCTTTCCCCTATCCAGGTCTTCCCTGAAACTGACCGGACAAGTGCTTCAGGGGGTGTTTTCAAGAATTAAGAAGCTCTGCATTTACCCATCCCCTTGGGGAGCATTGGGCTGCCATTGTCCGGCACCCTGGGAGCAGTGTGGGGGTTAATGGTCAGGGACCCAGAGTGGCAGTCCATGGGAGTGGGGCTTGACTCAGATCTTCAGGATTCCAAGCATAATACCCTAACCACTAGGCCACCCTAACCCTAACCCTCCCCAGGGTAGGCATTAGCATGAAGGATCCACAGTGGCAGCTCATTCCCCCGAGCTGTGATATGAACCTAGGCTTCCTGTTTGCAGGTTGGGTGACTGTGATGGTCTGAGCAGTCAAAGGAAATTCAGGCACAGGTTTAGATTCAAAAAGTCTTCTTTTTATTGAAACCAGAACAAAGAACTTGGGTCAATAAAGAACAAATTACAAAGTTGGGCCCATAAAAGAGGTCAAATTTAAAGAAATCCCGATTTAAATATAATGAGACTGGCTGACCTATTGTGTAATTAAATGTTACCGCATTTGGGCTGCTGTAGTTGAAGCCATCACAGTGACTTACCTATGGAATTGGCATATTAGGCATAATAGCTTTGTATACTGTAGACGCAGCTTCTGATGTCATCATGCTCTTGTGCATGCAATGCTGCATCCATGTCCACCATGAAAAATCTACCGCTCCTCCTATCCTTCTGTACAAAGACCAAACATAATATGGAGCAAAAAGAGAACTGGTTTTACCTGCCATACTGCATTAAATAAAATAATAAAAGAAATTCATACACTGAACTGTTCTGGCACATGATCTTGCTACTCTTTCAAATATTACCATCAAATCAGTTTTATAACAGCAAATAATACATTTAAGAGTTTTATTTGGATTACAGTTTATTAAACACCTGTGTCCTTGAAAAAAAGTTAATCAAACAATTTTATTCAGCGCATCACAAATTTACAAATGATAAATAAGCAATCCAGCAGGAGGAAGAATATGTGGCGCCCAAACATTTACCAATCTGCTTCAAGAACCATGAAAATCACCAGTTTGTTGTCGCCCTGCTATCCAACATGCATACAACATAAGTTCAACACGCAGCTCGATGGTCCGTGTGACTTTTTCTTGTTTGTGTGTTTTTAATTCCACTACACAATGAAGCAAAAATGGAAACAGGGTCAATAAGCACATCCTCAAATGCGATGGCTGCAGCACTTAGAGGAGGAGCTCAGGAGGACCTGAAAGCTTCTGGATATTTATGCTACATTTCCAGCATCCAGTGCTCATTGTGAAATATTTAGTTCAATTAATCACATCTAAACAGCATCATTCTGAAGAAGATTCTCATTCATCCAGGTCATAGTCATTCCGTAAAAGTTTTTTTTAAAAACAGCATCCAGAAAGCATCTTGACTTGGCACATTTGGAGAACTATGGAAGAAGTTCGAAGAACAGACATGAAAAATAGAATACATTTAAGTCAGATTTGTTCATATTCTTGTGGCATTTAATTTGACTGTTTATTTATGGATATTAATCATGAAATTATGTTACTACTATGTGATTTACTTTGTAGAAACACAAAAAAAAATCTGTGTAATTAAGTAGTTAGAGGGACAGATAGCTTCAGCACATTTCATTATGCAAGATGGGAATGTTTTAATGTGAAAAAAAATTTCTGCATGAAATATGTAAGGTCTGATTTCCTACAGAGCAGGATCCTCCTAGCCTCGTGAGACCATCCTGATCTCGCAAGCTTTCAAGGTTTCACTCGCAGATCAGTCTGGAGACTCTCCGTTAAAGAAAATTTGGAGCCGTTCACCAAACGAACGTCCAATCAGCGTTGGCTTTGCGGCAGGTTGAGGTGTGACGCAACGAGACGCGCGACAGTTCAGTTTAAAGAACATGGCGGCTTCAGCCGATGAAACTAGCGTTAGCGTGGCTATCGAGCAAGTTTTATCGGAATTACAGAGTATTTCTTCGCTGAAAGAAGAGCAAAACACTGCTCTGGAGGCTTTTCTCAGAGGAAAAGATGTTTTTGCTCTTCTCCCGACTGGTTTCGGCAAGAGTAGCCTGGCTGTTAGTACGTCATATGCTTCGTTGATCTGATTGGTTTATTTGGCCAGTCTATCACCAACATAGGCCAATCAGCTAACCAGTATTTTTGCCCCTTCCCAAAATTACTTAAACAGAAGGTTTCCAGATGGATATGTGGAGCCAATCCATCTGGCGGAGTCAGGTTAGGATCCTCCACCGTAGGACTCATATAGCAGACTACACATCTAATAAACACTTTTTGTTTTTTCATTTTAAGGGGGCAACATCACTGAAACTAAAAGTAAACTAATGGAAATGCCTGCAATAGTGTCTTATTTATTATTCTTTTAATAAACCATGTAACTTGCTATGATCCCAGGTTTATTTTATATACATATTTGCAGTACACCTGCGCTCTGAAAACGACTTCCTTCTTTACATCCAGGCAGGTCGTCTTGTTATGCTAAATGTAATGAAATGCTTCAGTTAACTGAGAAATTGACTAAAAAACAAAGGGAAAAACTCAAAAATGATATAAAATAAGTAAAATCAATGTAAGTGACTTAGTTTCCTTTAATTTTAGGCTTTTTTTAAGGCAAAATTGGAAGAATGATAGTCACATAAACTTACAAATGATTGTTTGTGAGTTGATATCCATGTAAATAATTTGTGATTGTGAATTGTGATTTCAGTTGAATGGAAACTGCATTGTGACTTGTTATCAGCAAACATACTATTATCACTTAAATCAGTCGATATAATATCTAATCATGAGAAAGTTGCAGATTTACACCTCTACCTTCCACAGAAGGTGAGATGAATCAGTCTGCAAGAGAAACAACTGCCTGCATCTTTCTTTTAAAAAACCCAACTACTTTTATAACACTGAATTTTCTGGCAATCCTTGAACTAATATTCATTTGGATGTAAGCCCTGTAAGCTGCTCCATTGCTGTATTAAATGTAGGAACACCAGTTTGCACCTCGGTGGAAGACACCATGACCTCTCCAAGTATTTTCATTAATTCAAATTGATCCCTGACTTCAAAGATTACACAGGGGCATCGGAGAAACAGCCACTCAACCCAAAAAGAAC